TTGTTGTTAATGCTGCCTAAGTGCACTGTGATTAGAGCACACTTAGTATCACAGGAATGTACAGCATGGAAACAGACCCTTCGGTCCAACTTGGCCATGCCGACCAAATATTCTAAATTAAGCTTATCACATTTGCCAGCATTTGGCCCATATCCCTCTAAACCCTTCCTATTCATGTACCAATCCAGATACCTTTTAAATATTGTAATTGTACCCGCCTCCACCATTTCCTCTGGTAGCTCATTCCGTACATGCACGACCCTCACTTATAGCATTCCTGTACCTTGCTTCGAGAGACTCAGTATTCATAATCCACCATGGGAGTTGGGTAATTTAAATTCACTTGATTGAAAATGTGGAATGAAATGGTAGATGTCATTAAGAATAGCAAGCCACTCAGTTTCATCAAACAGCAACAGGCTAAAAAAAATTCATGGGTGTACCCACACTATATGGTCATGCAGTGATTCATGTCGGTCAAGTACTCACCACCACCTTATCAGGATGGACAATAAATTTTTGCCTGGTCAGCAATACCCACAGCAAAAGAACGTTAGGTCTGACAGGAACAAGGCTTTTATCAACATGATCAGCTTTAAAAATACATCAGGAAAGTGAGTGCTGATTTTTAGTAACACTTGACATTATCTATAGCCACTTGTCTTCACTGCGCTGAGAATTATTTACACTAACGTCAACAAGATCTCAATAGCTCATTCACATTTGCCATGGTCCATTGCCATTATGACTTGATTTCTTTCCTAAAATACTTTCTAAAAGTTTCCCCATTTAAATTCTAGCTGGCACAGCAAAGAACACTGAATCATTATTAATGCCTATCTCTGAGTTTGGCAATCACTAAACTCTGTTTTTGCTTTGTGATCTTTTTGTTTAAATTCAACTGGCTAGAACAAGTTTTACTTTTTACGTTACTGTTATGGCAATATATGCACTGCATACCAGCAAGTGCATGATACTCAAGGTACCATTGCAAGGGTACATCCAGAATTTGCACATGCACAAGATTTATGTTGTTTGCATTTTTAAGTCTTAGCTTGGTCATTTTCCTCTTTCATATAGACCTGAACATTTCATCAGCTCCAGTGTAGATAAAATAATGTTAATAATTAAAAGAAGGATCTATATACTAATTTCACCTTGCTGCTGTTCAATGTTTAAAAAGACAGATTCTTGTCTGTATTTTCCGTTTTGTGGTCTTCTGCCTCTCTTCCGTCAATAGCACTTGAAACTGTGTAAAACTGTGAAGGCAGTATCTAAGATAGGGCAATAACGCAATAACTGATTTTCAATGACACAAACAAATTAACATTCCAAATAAAGACTGAAAGAACTGCGGATGCTGTAAATCAGAAACAAGGACAAAAACAGAAGTTTTTGGAAAAGCTCAGCAGGTCTGGCAGCATCTGTGAAGAAAATATCAGAGTTAATGTTTTCGGGTCCAGTGACCCTTCCTCAGAACTGGAAGTAAACAATCTGAAACATTAAATCTGTTTTATTTCTCCAGAGGCCTGATTTTTTTTTGTTCACTCATGGGACATGGGCATCGCTAGCTGGGCCAGTATTTATTCCCCATCCCTAGTTACCCTTGAGAACATGGTGGTGAGCTGCCTCCTTGAACCACTGCAATCCGTGCATCAGAATTAGCTAAGTGTTTGTAGCTTTTTCTGTCTGTTATTCATTGCATTGAAAAATGAACAGCAATCATCCTGCTACCAGGTATTTACTACTTAATTCAAATTAACATTTCAAAACTGAAATTGAAAGAATTTCGTTTGTTAAGTCTACTAAGAGTTATAGAACTAAGGCAGGCAAATAATTTAAGATACAGATCAGCTGTAACTCAGCTGAAAGTTAAACCAGGCACAAGAGGCTATATGTCCTACTCCTATTTCTGTATTCCTATATTCTTTATATGTATGTTCTTTACAAAGGAGAGGGATAGAGGCCTTTTTTCAGAATTACAGCCAAGTTAGACTGTTAGCACCTTGTGCATTTGATCTAAGTGAGGACTGCTGATATCTGCTGTAAACCGATGGGTGTACAATAAAATCATACACTTTGATTATCATTCAATTTATGGGAAGCTGCTAAGAATCACAGTTTAAACGCCTCAGCCCACTTGCTTCATATAGATCTGGGGGTCTGTTCTCAATTAACTACTCGATTCACTTTCAAACTTATTTCTGTGGAGGCCCACTTTAAAATCAGACCTCTCATTTTCACTGAACCTATCTTCATTAAGATAAACACACTAGCAGGATTAATTCAAAGCAGTTTCTAACTTTCTCTACACTACAGAGCTGTGCAAGTGCAAGCTGTTGGCCATTTCTTTCTCCTCCTCCTTGGAGGAACTGAGGCAAATTTTAGCCGTGGGACCTCTCACAGCTCAAAGGCCTGCTCAGATGGCTTGAACCATTCCAAGAACTCTGCCTAATATGGTTACTGCAAATCGCAGCTACAGAGCTGGCTGTATTTTGGCTGACAGATTAATCCCTTCAAAAACCACTGGTCAGATTGCTCACTGGGTGAGGAGGACATGACACTTACAAGTATTTTTTTCTGGATTCCATCAGAACCTACATCTACTTGGATCCTCACTGAAACGCTCAAGTCCAGATGGGTGAGTGCATAGTGGCAAGCAATTTGACTACCTGGGGTACCATCGCCAACTCAATGCCACCCTTACCCAGTACACACTGATTCACAAACACTTCCAACAGGAACTAGGAACCGATGCCTAATTTGCATTTTGGAGGCATTGAGTTATAGTTCCACCAATAACCAAATGATTCAGTCGATGGTTTCACGAAATGCACAACATTTCACCAAAATGAGGAATGTTGGTACATCCTCTGAAATGCTTAGAAATTTTCCCCTATAATATTTGTCAAAAGGGCACTTGGCATTCCAAGGTCCAGGACTACACACTGAGGGATACACTAAAGCTTGGGGCAGCACCCGCAAAGGCTGAATGGGGAAAAGCCACATTTGAAGTGCCGCCCATTAGAGTACACCAAGGAGTTTGGGCCTGTGTAAAATCCCTCTCTCTCAAGAAACATTGTTCATTGAATCAATCTTTTCAGACACGTTATGACAACCTCTGGGGCAGGTCAGATTTGAACCCAGGGATACTACCATGTGCCACAATAGCCTTACAATATAATTGTAAGTGTTGTAAAACACCTCAGAGTTCCACGCACTGTATTGGAAGACATTGAAATGCATTACACTTTAAGTTAAGTGAATTTGAGCTGTTACTGTAAAGAATTTTTGGAAAACTTTGTGAATAAAATGCATTTTTTTTGAGAAAATAAAAATGAAACTTGCTATTCTTGGGCCTCGTTTGTCAATAAAAGCTTCTGCCGATTTAAAGCAAGTGAGTCAACAACTCACTTTGAAAGGAGTCAAAGGAATTTCCTCCAAATATTAAATGTTGCCCTAGGAATAATCTTTAACCCCGCAGCCAGCATTAAGAAACGGAACAAAATAAAAGGAGCTGGAGGAGATTATAAAATGTTAAAGAAAATTGAACCCATAGAAAGTTTGAAAGGAACTTTATCAAATCTGCAATATTAATTTTTAAGGCAACTCTTGTGACTCTTTCAGCAAGATGTAGTTTGAGATTAATGTACTTCCTGCTTTGCCTTTACTGTTACTTTTGCAGATTGAAAGCCTGAACTCACTTAATACCTGTCTCCAACTGAAGTTAGCACTCGCATTTTGAGTTCACAGTCACTTTATTGTTGACTAATGCTCAGAGACAATGGGATCTTTAATGCATCACAATACAATTTTGTTCCATCGATCTGTCACAGACATTCACAGCATTAAGGGCAAGGGAAGCTTTGGACACACAGCGGATTGACCATTTCACAAAATTCACACTCCACCTCCTCATTGCCCACTGTACCCACAGTTAAGAACTGTGCAGAACAAAGACTGAACAATCAAGAAATGATTAGGAGTGCGAGGGATAGCCATCTACATGGCTGCGAGCTGGGGCTGTGGGATTAGGGTGTCATTCCGAGGTTAAGAGGTAGTACCCTTGTTCCTTTGTTTGAGTGTTTGAAGAATGGTGGCATTGTGAGAATGTCACTGGATTTAATTATCCAGAAGCCCAGGCCAATAATCTGGTCAGATGGGATCCCAATCCCTCCATGACAGTGAGTGGAATTTAAATTCAGTTAAATAATAAATCAAATTGATTCAATAAAAACCCAAATTGCTTCACTAATGCCCTTTAGAGAGGAAACCCACTGGCTTACATTGTGACACAACCCCAGAAGCACAATAGGTTGTCTCTTGGGAACAACTATTGCTCTCAATGGCAATTTGTGATCAGAAGGAAATGGTGGCCTTACCAGCAATGCCCACATCCCACAAGAGATTGACAAGAAAATCCCAGTCTGAAGACTGGAACATTAAATCTAGAGTGACATTTGAGCACAGTACTCAGGGAGTTCTGCACGGCCGTAAGTGTCATCTTTCAGATTGAGATGTTAAACCGGTCTCCCATCGGCACTCTCAGTACTTAAAATAACCCATGGTGCCATCAAAAAAAGCACAGGGTAGTTCTCCCATTGTTCCAGCTCCTGGGCAATATTTACCCCTCGACTACCATCACTCAAACAGGTTGTCTGCTATCACAGCGCTTGAATTCATTTCAAGACTTAGTCGGCTGTAAAGCACTTTGGGACTTCCTAAGATTGTGAAAAGTGCTATGTGAATGTCCATTTTTCCCATAGAGAAAGTGCAGAATAGTTTGGAGTGTACAATGAATAAACCATGTAATCGATGAGAGTGCGGTCCAATAAAACGCCAAAGGCAAAGTGTGTAAGAAGACAACATGGCACAAATCTCATGGTACAAGATGTCCTGAATCTGGCTAAACACTCACATCATTAACTGAGAAAAGGGAAACCAATGATCTCTTGGTGCGTGAGCCTTGGTCCCGAAATTCCTTTGCAACAAAATAGTAACAAATGGCATCTAGGCAACAGTTGACATTGGCTAAGCACATGGCGCCTTGAACAAATAAACTAATACTTCTTCGCATCAAACAGTAATCTTGACCAATGATGTCCTGCCGCACTAAAAACTGAAGAAAGATGCCAATGTGGATGGGCACAAATGAGCAAATGAAGACAACCAGGTTGGCAATGATAATTTTGATGCAGGCCTGGCAGTTTCCGGAAGCCTCACTTTGCCTCTGCAGCAGTTTCCTGACAATTTGGACTGAACAAAAGACCATGGCAGCCATTGGGATCACAAAGCCCAGCAGCTCCACAAAGGCGATCAGACCCGGGTTCCATGACTTATCAGAGAATTTATGGAAGCAGATGATGGTGGAGTTAGTGGATTCTGGGCTGTCATGGAACCCATAGACAGGGATGCTCCCCAACCACACAAAGGCCCAAATGACAAGGCAAATGATCATGGTGTATCGGGGGCACCGAAAAGCCTTCGCCTTCAAAGGGTGAATGATGGCAACATAGCGATCGATGCTAATGGAGGTGATGATGAAGATGCTGGCATACATGTTGACAAAGTAGAGCGACTCCACAAAGGAGCAGAAGGCCACGTCAAAGGGCCAGCCCTCATCCTGGTCAAGCATCTTAAAAGGAAGAGAGAACAGCAGCAGGATGTCTGCCAGGGCAAGGTTGCTCATGTAAATGGTCGTTTCAGTCCATCTCTTTATCTTGCAGCAAAACATCAGGAGTGCCAGGAGGTTGAAAGGCAGTCCCAGGATGAAGGTGGGAATGTAGATCGCCAGATACATCATATTCTCCTGCTCGCTCATGTTAACCTCACAGAGATTAAACTTTTTCTGGTGGTCCAGATCCATGGCTTGGTTAATTCTGTAAAGGGAAAGTATGCTTAGAGTCCAGCCACTTTCTTTCAATCACATGAGGTTAGAAATCTTGGCAATTGATGTTACTGTACAAAGAAAACAGAGAGACCGAAGGGTTCAGGTACATAAACTAGGCAGTTTGTATCACATGTAGACAGAATGATAGAGAAGGCATTTAGCACATTTGCTTTCATTGCTCAGACCTTGAGTATAGGAGTTGGGACGTCATGTAGACATACAGGACATTGGTAAGGCCTCTTCTGTGTCCATTTCTGGTCACCCTGTTATTGGAAGAATATTATTAAGCTGGAGAGGGTTCAGAAGAGATTTACCAGAATGTTGCCAGGAGTTGAGGGTTTGAGTTATAAAGAAAGGCTGGATAGGTTCCTACTTTTTCACTGGAGCACAGAAGGTTGAAAGGTGACTTTATAGAGATTTATAAAATCATGAAAGTTATAGAAAAGGTGAATGGCAGGTGTCTTTTCCCTAGGGTGGGGGATTTCAAGACTAGGGGGCATTTTTTAAGGTGAGAGGAGAAAGATTTAAAAAAGTCATGGGGGGCAACTTTTTTATACAAAGAGTGATTCATATATGGAATGAGCTTCCAGAGGAAGTGGTAGATGCGGGTACAATTACAACATTGAAAAGACATTTGGATAAGTATGTAAATAAGAAATATTTGGAGGGATATGGGCCAAGCACAGGCAGGTGGGGCTAGTTTAGTTTGGGATTATGGTCAGCATGGACTGCTTGGACCAGGGGTTCTGCTTCCATGCTGAATGACTCTATGCCAACAGGCTACTTAATCACTTATAAGTTTGGATATTCAGGTAGCACAGTCTCTTGAAGCTAACTCTTCACTACACATATGAAATTGTTCCCTTTGCTTTTAGAACACAGGTGTTCATAAACAGGAGAGAAGTTTCATTAAAATAGCAAAGATAGAGACGTTGGGATGGGTTTTTGAAGCATTCAATCTATAACATTTTCTTCTACTTTCTGTTTTATTTCACATCTCATGTTGTGTCCTGGGGCGCATTGAATAAAAGGCTGGTGGAAGCACTTTCAACAGTAACTTTAAAAAATGGACGTAGAATTTGGAAAAGAAGACATTTACAGGCCTGAATGGGGAAAGGAGCTACTGGTTAGCCTGTTAAACTGCAGGCAGAGTCACAGTGGTCTGAATGGCTCCTTCTCTGCCATAGGATTCAATGATTTCTATCTCAAAAATTATTCAAAATTTGTAGATAATCAACCATCAGCACTTTTCATCAACTGTCAATTTTTATAGGGATTGTGATTTGCAAACAGCAGCCCAAGACATTACAGATGGATATTGTCAAACACTAAAATATCCGTGAAATCAACCTTGGTCAGCAATCAATATTATTTGCATAAATTGCAATTCAATTAACTTGACAATTCCTTTGTTCAGGGAAAACAACTATCTACTGTAATTCCATGCTTAAATCCTTTACCAGTGTAAATTAGCTGTCTTAATCTAGGTTATCCGCCAACATCCCCAACCCATACCCAGGTGGATCAACAATAGTTAAGCAATTGCTGCCACCACTTCTTCAATTAGATGCGTAGTTTTGTGCGAAGGGAATGTTTGTCCTTTGTAACAAGTAATAAATTAAGAATTAATTTCATCCGGTACAGCAACAAAAGCAGAATGCCTACTGAGTGATCGGCCGAGTGAGATTAACCAGGCAAAGTGAAGCCAACAGTCTGGAAGGCTGGTAAAAATTGAAGCTCATTCGGCGAAATAATCCGGTATCAGTCAACCTACCGATCAGACCAACTTGAGATTCAATGGCCTGACCTAACGCATGTGGCTGGAAGGTTTGTCTTCTTTTTGTAGCTCACAAAAGGACAGCCGAGATGATAAATCTATCGTTTTGCAGCTACTTTTAATGATACATTTTTGCATGATTTTTATGTTACAAATTAAGTCGCTTATATAGCTGTATATTTCACTGCTGAGGTAGTCCAGTTAAATATGTCATTTCAGGATTAATTTTCTTTTAATTTCATTCCAACTGCTTCTTACTCCCAGTCATCTCTCCAGCCTCAAACTCTCCAACAGACCTCCTCCGCTCCTGGCATCCCCTGAAACTCAACTCTTTCACACTGTTGAATTAGTCATAGTTTTACAGCATTTGTGTTCGAGTTAATTCCATTTTTGTTCAGAAACCTCTGAAAATGCCTCGATCTACAAATTCAAAAAAAAGTAGCACTGCCAATTGTGCATATTATATAACATCAATGTTACTCTTATTGTCTTTGTGCATGCATTTTCTCCAGGCCTTTTGCTCCCAATACTCAAATCTTTACAGCTCACTGAAAATGGGGGCCAGATAAATCTGTCACTCAAAACCTGCGTGTCAAGACAACTTTTAAAACACGGACAGGTGCTTAATTGGTAAAGATTGTTTCTAAATACATAGGTGTACTTACGGCATATTACTCACTGGAAAGCTTGCCAAAAAGTGGATGGGTACACCTCGGCCAGCCTTGTATAAATATGTCTTCTGACACGCTTGATAACACTAGAAATTCTAACCACATCCTTTTGCGCCTTGCCCCTCGACTTTGGTTCTTTTTGCCAGAAGTCTTCTTTATAAGTTATAAGGTGAATCTCTGCAACATTCTGCTGGATTCATTTTCAGATGATGTCTGATTTATATGTCTTTTTGAATAGTATTTTCTTGTAATCATTTCTGTCGTCCTCCCTTCTGCATAGCACACTGAATCATGTCCATTTTGGAGTAATTCTGGGCTCAGAATTAATCTTTGGCTAGAACCAGCCTCAGCTCTTGTGCCCTGTATTTTTAATTCTCCCTGTTAACCAGCACAGGACTTACTTGGGCTTGTAATATTCCTGGCGTGACTGAGAAAAGCTTAGTGGTTAATAGGTTGACTTCATGTGGGTGTAAAAGAGTCATAGCAGCCTTTGAAAACGAAAGAACGTTTTGAGAATATTGTGCCCCAACTAGACAGTGAAACTAGCAGCAATCTGTGACTGACACTGACAAAAAGGAATACATAGCACTGCATTAAGTAAATCTAGCTTACGCCTGATTGCTTTCAGACTGAGCCCACAAAAGGAACAGCAAACACCAGTAAAACAAATTTACACCAGTAAAATGGAAAATTTTAATGGAGTCTGGAGAAGCATCCAACACAGGACACCTACACAGATGTGGAAACTCCTCAGAAATATGGTAATGGGGACTAAAAGCAAAATTCATTGATTTTCTGCTGTAGAAAGAAATATAGTGGGACTGTTAGCAATATTTTCCGTGTTTCAAACAAACTAATGATCTAATTACCGTCTAGAATTGTGTTTTTTCAGATAGACATTAAAGCAATAGAGTTGGGAAAATGAGGACTTCAATTTTCCATACTGAGGGAGAGAAATGCAAAGTGTAAAGAAGGTGGAGGAATTCCTGAAAGGCGTACTAGAGAATTTTCTCAGTCAGTCTGTTCCCAGTTCAACGTGGAAGGAAACAGTGTTGGATGTGGTTCCAGGAATAGTAATGAGAACACATAGAGATGTTTCAGAGGAGAATTTTGGGAAACAACAATTACAATGCTTAGAGTAATTATTGAAAAGATCGAGGAATAATGAATGGTGAAAGTACTAAATTGGAAGAGCATTAATTGCAGTGAGTTGGAAAGGGACCTGTCCCAGGTGAATTGGAATCAAAGACTGGTAGGTAAAACGGTAAATGAGCAATGAAGGGAGGCCTTCAAAGATGTGATCATTTGTGAACAGGCTGGACATATTCCCACAAAGTGGAAAGACCTCCAAAGCCGGCGCCCCCAGGGTGGCTAACAAAATGTAACAGAGCATGTAGGCTTGTGACAAATGTATAATTTCATGGAGCAGTAGGGAATCAAGCAGGACACAAAGATTTCTGAAGAAGGGTCTAGGCCCGAAACGTCAGCCTTCCTGCTCCTCTGATGCTGCTTGGCCTGCTGTGTTCATCCAGCTCTACACCTTGTTATCACAAAGTATTCTGGTCAGCTGGCAAAGAAAATAAGAGGGTCCTGAAAAAAATCTGTATGAAAAGGTTAGAGACTAACATAAAAGTTAGAAGGTACATGAAAATGAACACTGGAACTTCTTACAAATTATTAAATAGTAAAAGTCTACTCAAGGGAAGGATAAAACAGATATATGGCAAGTAAAAAGGCATCTCTTGTGAAAGTTGTTCAATGAGTGGTTTTCATCTGTCTTCACAAAATAATAAAATGCTGCAAATGTCACAGTAAAGATTTGGTTAGAGAAGTTGGATACAGCTAGATTGTAGGTGGGTTCTTAAACGGCTATCAGCTCTCAAAGTAGAAAAGTTGCTTGGCCAGATTTGAATGCTAGTTGATTGAAGGAAATAGGTTTGGGAACAATGGAAGCTCCAGCCATAATCTTTCCATTTTCTTTAGCTATTGGAGTGACATTAAGAGTTACAAATGATACATTCCTTTTCAAAAAAGGAAGACATGAAGAAATTAAGTCAATCTCACATCAGTGTCAAGGAAAATTCGAGTGTCAATAATCTGAGACAGGATCAATTATTACACCAAAGACATAAATTAAAGCTAGGACAGACTTGTTAAAGGTAAACAGTGTCTGATTAAATTGAGCCTTCAATAAAATAAGGTAGAGGATTAATTCAGGCGGTGCAAATGATGTTGCCTAAATGGACTTTCAAAAGTGTTTATTAACATACTTAATTTAGTAAAATTGAACTCTGCATGATCAAAGGGACTAGGCAATATGACTATGGAATTGGTTAAGGGACAGAAAAGTAACCAGTAGTGAACAGTCTCTTTTCAGATTGAAAAGATGTACACACAGGTGTTTCCCAAGGGTCAAATATTAGGATGAGTGCTTTTTTTGACAGATTATACAGGGCTCGAGTATATAGGGTAATATTTTAAAGTTTGCAGCTGGCTTAAGACTCGGAAATGTAGCAAACAGTGGTGAAGATAGTCATGGATTTCAGGAAGACACAGACTAGTGAAATGCCCACACACAAAACAGATGAAATTTAATGCAGAGAAGTGTGAAAGAGGCATTTTAAAGAAAAATGAGGAGCAACAACATAATTGAAGTAGTACAACAGCATAGAAACAGGGAGATATAATCATATATGTGTGCAATCCTTTAAAGCAGAACACCTTGATTAGGCTGTTGAATGAAATGGACGAAAAATCATTTGCTTTATAAACATATTGCAATTATTGCTGGAGATGGGAAGTTATAGTTCCCATCTGTACAGTACCATAGCTAGGTACTTAAAGAAAAAGATATGAATAAGGAGTTTTTTTTAATATCTTCTTGGAATGTGGAACTTCACTGGGGAGACTACTAACTATTGCCCATTGACCATGGTTTTATGAAGGGCAAATTGCGTTTGAGTTTTTCAAAGATGCAAGAAGCAAACTGTGTAATTGGTGTCCTGTAAATGTTGTATATCTGGACTTCTAGAAGACATTTGTTGAGGTGTCACACAATAGGTTAACATGCAAAGTAAATCCATATGGGGTAAGGGGTAATCTATTAGTTTGGACGGAGGATTGGCTAACCATCAGAAACCATCAGAGAGTACGGAGAAGCAGGTCCTTTTCAGTTGTCAAGCTGTAAGTAATGGGCGTCACATTGTTCGGTCCTCAACTATTTATAATCTATATTAATGACTTGAATGCAGGGATAGAATGTACTAAAGTGAAATTTGCACATGCCACTAAAATAGATGGGAAAGTAAGTTGCAACAAAGAAACAGGAAATTTATGAGTGAATATAGATAGGTTAGGTGAATGAGCCAAAATTTGGCAGGTGTACTTGCATCTGGATAAGTGTGAGATTATTCTTTTTGGTTCGAAGAATAAAAAGGCAACTTCTGACCTAAATGTAGAGACATTCAAAATGCTTTGATGGAGGGATCTGGGTTTCCTTTTTCCTTGAATTACAAAACGCTAGAGCGTAGGCACAGCAGGTAATAAAAATGGCAAGTAGAATTTCAGCACTTATTGCTAATGGAAAGAAATTTAAAAATGAGGAAATGTAGATGCAACTGTACAAGGCTTTTGTAAAACCTGGAGCATTTGGAGCATTGCACACAGTTTTGATCCCCTTACTGAGGGAGGATGTAATTATATTGGTGGCAATTTCAGAAAAAAATCACTAAATTTATTCCAGAGATGAAAAAAGAGATTGATCAATTTTGGCCTACACTCAATCAAGTTTAGATGAATGAGAGGAGATCTATTGAGGTATATAAAATGCTAACAGGGTTTGACAAACTGGAAATAACATGGATTTCTCTTTGTGGGACAATCTAGAATGAGAAGCCATGGTTTTAGGATAACAGGTGGCAGATTAGAAACAAAGATGAGGGGGAATTATTTCTGTCAAAGCGTTAGAAATCTGTGGAATTCACTACCCCAGAGTATGGTGGACGGCAGGACAATGAATAAATTTGAGGAAAAGATAGACTGATTTTTAATCAGAAATGGTTTGAAGGGTTATGGGGAACTGACAGGAAAGAGGAGTTGAGGTTGAGATGAGATCAGCCACTATCATATTAAGTGGTGGAGCAGGCTTGAGGGACTGTATTGCCAACTCCTGCTCCTAGTTCTTATGTTCTTATCCTTAATTGCCATTGACAAGTTGGTTGTTGTTAAGTGAGGACTCTGGAGCAACCTTGCAATGTTGTCACAAAGCTGTATGTCACTGAGTATAAATACCAAATGTGAATGGCGTTAGAACAGTCCCTAGATACACTACAACTCGGGACGGCTACATTGTGAGCAGCAATCTTCCAATGAAGCTCAACATAAGCTTGAGAAACAAAGCTCGCTTTCCGCACAGGCATCTTACAGCCTCTAGGACTTCTCCTTCAGTTCAACGACTTTAGAGCAGGACTTGTGCCCTCCATTTTGATTATGCACCACCACCCCCACTTCTCCAGCCATTTTCTGTTTGTGTCTTGTTGGCTTTGCTTTTCACAGAGTGGGCCTATTGTCTACTTTTCACATCTATCATCTTAAATTTATATCCTCATGTTTCCTTTACTACCAATAGTGCTCCTTTTTTCATTTTGCTCTGGGCACCCCACAACCTGTTCCACTCAGTCCTCCTCCCCTCTATCAACAGCCTTAAAAACACATTTTCCAAAATCACCCTTTCAATTCTGAAAGAGTCATACCAGAATCAAAATGTCAACTCAGTTTTTCTCTCTCTGCAGGTGCTTCCAAACCTGCTGAGTTTCTCCACCATTTTATCATTTTTTTAAATCTTGGATTTCCAGCATCCATAGCAATTTGCTTTCATGTGAGTGTTTTTATTTAACTATAGTTTATAGACTAATATATCTCATGATTAATATTCAACACTGCTACACATGGTAATGTACAACAGTGCCAGATTGAAGTCTAAGCCTGAGGATGGTCTTGATTTTGCCTTGTCGCCAATTTAACCCTGAACCCAAACTTATTGTGTGGCGTCAAACAACATGCTAAAAGTGTGGTGAGCTGCCTTTTTGAATCACTGCTGTCCATGTGGCATAGATGAACACACAGTGCTTTTAGGG